CTTTTAGTTGGAAAAAGCATTTTTCCCACATTTCCCGAATTCGACGCGTTTTGATAGCGCGTCGCGCCTAGGCGGCGCATTTTCCCCTTTTTTAGAACAATGGTATTTTGTGGTCACTTACTCTTGTTGCAAAATTATACAAGGGCTATTCCTCGGAGAAGTAAGAAAGCATATTAGTCTTTTTCTTTTTTTTTTTCTTTTGATGCATATTATGAACCTAATTTTTTGTGTAGAATGTATTTTGGAATAGTAGATTGATTGAGGATATATAGTTAAAAATGACGAAAAAGTTTTTGAATTGCGTGTAATATTATTTTGTTCAAAATGTGTAGTTAAAAAAAAAGAGAAAAATATATATTTTGAAAGAAATATGACCTAATTTAAACGTTTTTAACAAGAAAAAATGCCTTACGATTCCAAGTCCCACCTACCCAAGTAAAAAAGAACAAAAATATAAGAGTTTGGGTAAAATACATAAACACCCTTGCCTCTTGTGCACAAATTAAGGTCAATTTAATCATTTCACAAACAATATCCCCCACCAACTCTCATATATATGTGTACACAGTTGCGGATAAATCATAATCAAGAAGCAGAGAATTTGCATTGTCTGGGGTGTCCTCTGCGTTCTCTCATTACATACTCAGACTATACGCATACACGTATTTAAAGTAGTGTATATAAGAGAATCTATATACATACATTTGTAAAGAAGAAGAAAATGACTCATAATGGGAAGTTGATGCCAAATCTGGACGAAAAGAGCACAAAGGTGCTAAATTTGAATGTTCTTCAGCGAATCGATCCGTTTGTCGAAGAAATTCTCATCACCGCCGCACATGTAACCTTTTATGAATTCAACGTCGAGACCAGCCAATGGGTATAAATAAAATAATTAAGTTGCATATATTTTCGTGTAAAGAGAAGCCAAATTGTGTACGTAATTGAATTTCATTTTTTAATTGTAATTTTTATTTTGTTTACAGAGTCGGAAGGATGTTGAGGGCTCTCTGTTTGTGGTGAAAAGGTTTAAGTTTTTCGCGGTTTTGGACCAAATTTTATGGCTTTAATGAATTTTATTGTTTGGGGGTGAAGTAGTTGATGGGATTTTACAGTTCTTATATTTATTTTTATTTTTTTGAATTTTGTGTGTTTCAGGAATACCCAACCGAGGTTCCAGTTTATAGTGATGAATCGTCGGAACACCAGTAAGTAACTCATTTTTATTGCATTTTGTTGGTTGGTGTTCACATTTTGTTAAAATGTAAATAATTTTAGCTTGGAATTCAGATGATGATTAGATGCTCTTTTCAATGAGAATCAGTTGAACTGATTAACTGAGCATATATGTTAGTACCAATATGAATTTTTGGATGGCATTCCTTTTGACTAGCTTATGCAACATTTCCTTGAAATCCCATTATCAAGAATGATGAACGTCAATGATTCGTGTTATCATATGGCATATCTGCAAAAACGAACATGCTTTTTACATGATAAGTACTTTGTAAGTATTTTTTAATTGATTTTGTTGACATTGGTTCCAATTTTATTTTAGACTTAGTTCTATAATTTTGCTCTGTATGATTTTGTTATTTGTCCTACTCTTTATACCACTATATTGCCTATCTTAAATAATAAAAAAATGTCATAGGTGTATCAACTTCTACCATTTATTGAGACTTGGGATATTGAATAAGGATAGGAAAATAACAAACAAACAACAGACTAAGCCTTATTGACATTAACCATTTAACCTTGAGGTTGACTGTGTGAACCCTTTTCTGCAATGCATAGAAAATCTACCAGTAGAAATTACAATGGATACACTTGTAGCATATATATATCAACCTTTTTCCAAGAGCATAAGCCTACCTCTAGAGTGTTAAAATTAAACCTTGTGTCATTTGCTATAAGCTTAAATCTGTCTTTATTTCTTCGAACTTCGTGTTTATATTTGAACTATAACTATAGTTACAGAATTGGACTGGGTTCTGACTGGAAAACTGGACCACAACCATTCATGTTGCTCTAACTGTTTGCTATCGAATCTGTTAAAGAGTGTCCAACCCAGGGAAAAAAACTAGTGAGGACATGTTCTTTTCAAAACCTACAAAAGTTTTATAGGTTTTGATCCCAAGACCTTTTCAGTATTTGTCAAACAAGTCACCACTGGGCTGGTCCATCTGTTTTTAGTTGAGGATATTTCTGATTTCAAGTAAGACATAAATTAATTATAATTATAAAAAAAAAACATGTCCAGTCTTTTTTAGAATCTTTATGTTGGAACATATTATGAATAAAAACAATTATTGTGATTGATCAAGAACAAAAAGAAATTACTTTGCTAATTTTTAATTATTAAATTACTATCTTATATCTTTTTAATGCAGAGAGGGTATCAAATTCAGGTGAGATAAATTTAGTTACAGAAAATGTTCAGTACATAAATAAAATGAAGATATCATAAGCATTATATGGATTCATAGGGTATGTAATCCTAAAAAGGCATTGTACAAAGTTATTTGTGAATCAAAAACCAACAAATATTTGCCAGAAAAAACTTCTATACTTACCTCCAAAAAACTAATAAATAAAAACAGATATTGTGATGTGATAAAGTCAATTGTTAGGTCTTCACTTTTTTTCTAATATGGATGGTTGAAGATTCGATATTATTATTATAAGAAGCTCTCTAGGAAATGCAATTTTATAGTCGTTTATATATATATTTTGAATTTTCTAATAGGAGTTTGCCATTTGCCTATTGCCAACCCATTTTGGATGGTAAAATAGGCTTTTCTTCCTGCTTCTTTTTGTTTCCCAGCAGCTAGTATAATGAAGTTGCATATTCCAATAGTAAGTCAATCACCTCTCATGCTGTCAAAGGAACAAACTGGGCTGATACTCTCCATTTCTTTAGTCCTTGAAATACAACATGATTCTACAATGCTCTAGCTGCAGTCAAAGACTTGTGTCAATTGTAACTTTACTCGAACCACGTGGTTAAAACACAGAATCACAACTTCTTTTTTGGAGGTATTGTTCAAAATATGTGTCATGCTGTATTACATTTGAATTTAAAATGTTTGGGACTTGAGAATGGGTAAGAATCCAGTGAAGAAGTATCAGAAACAGAAACTGGGAACAAGATTCCCATAACATATCAACTAATAGGAACAATGCAAAATATTTCAATTACTTTAGTTTGCTTGAAAATCTGCAGAAGAGAAATGATCAAACTTCGAGTGCATTATTAAATGCCATTTTAGGAGCAGGGAAAAAATGGATTGACCTACAGGACTATTTATTCCATTCATCGTGTCTAGAATGAAGAGAGTGTAGGTTGTTTCAAAAGTAACAGGACTATTTTCACCAGTGAAACATTGAAATATAATTCTTCAGAAAAAATCTTCCGCATTTCGCAAGTGGCTATCATGTCTAGCAGCTTGAATTTTCTGGGTGGTTCCTTTTTGTTTTTGAATATTTTTCTCTAGTTGGAAGGGGAAATATCACATCTCACTTCTTGCTTTAGTGTTGCAGTAACTGTTAGGTTTTCTAACTTTTGAAATCTTAAGGCCCGTTTGATAGGCAATTTTTTTCATGGAAAATGGAATTGAAATTCCATTTCCCACTTTTGTCATGTTTGATAGCCAAAATTTTCCATGGAAAATATTTTCCACCCAACCCCCCACCCCCCACGTGACCCCTTTTCTATGAATTCAATGAATTGGTTTTCCCACCAATTTGGTGGGAAAATGGTTTCCAGGTTTTTTTTTTCCAATGAAAACAAATTCTATGTATAATTGTAAAAAAAAAAAAAAATTCCTTTAATGGACTATTTCCATGGAAAACAAAGTCAAACGAACACCAAAAGATCCAAAATTTCAGCATTTTTCAGGTGGAAAATTATACCAACCAAACACAATTAATTGAGAATTCTCAGGAAAACAATTCTAGGCAATTCAATTCCCTTTAATTCATTTTCTTTCCACCCAAATTCCACTCTTGCAATCAAACGGACCCTTAGAGATGGAAACTATATTTGAAGATTATTCTTGTCCAGTTGTAGCATTCTCAGATTTAAACCTGCCTATTAAAGATAACAGTTATAGATGAATTTCCACTTTCCGTCTTTGACTGGCTAAAGAACATCTAGAGTTAGTAAATCTGAGACTTTAAAGGAATGGCAAAGACATGGGTGAGAGGCAGGTGCTCCTTGCCCCTATGACCGCCCACAATTACTTTTTATTCTCTAGACAATCACCCCTTCTGAAACAAACTGCTTTCCTCATAGTGAATAAATGGACCGTGATTCTGTAAATGGAAAGCAAGAAGCATCAATTGCTAGAGTAAACATTGATAAAATTCATCATGATCCATTTGGGTTAGGAGTGCTTGCACATTTCCCATGAATGCATGAAAGCTCTTGCTATTATATGTAATTTCATTATGTAGGTTAATGGTATAGATACATCTTTTTAAGAGTTGAAGTTACTTGTGCACCTTCATGAAATTTGATTTATTATGAAATGCTGAGATCATGATATAGATAAGTGTGTTTTACTAGCAATATGATTTTTAACATGTTATGCACTGGGATCACTATTAAATGGTGGTCTGAACTTACTGACGCGAACAGATAATTTGGTGGAGAATCTCTTGGGGGATTTTGAGTATGAAGTGCAGGTTCCATATTTATTATACAGAAATGCTTCCCAAGAGGTAAATGGAATATGGTTCTACAATACACATGAATGTGAAGAGGTTGCTAATCTCTTTAGCAGGTATGTCTTATCAGTTAAGGCATATCATATCCTCTCCCTCCATCTTTGTGGTGCCTATCAATTTGCATGCGATGGCAGTTTGTGTGAAATTGTAACTTGATTAAGAAAGGTTTTGACCTGTGAATACCTATTTGATGTTTTAGTTTCAGTCCATTAGAAGAATGAGAGCACCTGTTCAAGAACTTAATGGATTTTATGAAGTAGAAAGAAAATGGGTGACATGTCTGGTTTTTATATAGGCGATCCCTCATAATTTAAGGTTTTCTAATATATCTGTCAATATGTGTGTCATCTGGTGGTCTTTGGAGTCAGTAGTTGAGTAGCTTAGTCAGAGACACATTGCTCTCAATGAAAATTGTATGGATTTTATAGTACAATTGTGAGTAGGATAGCCAAAATGTGATGTCTTATATTGAAGTAACATAAAGAAAAAAAATCAATATTAAATCTGAGAAGCTTTGAAAACATGAAACTGAATGTACGTAAAAAAATGTCTAAAATATGTTTTACATTCAATTTTCAAAACAAATAATATGTTCATGTTTGTCAAAGCTTATAGTTGCTTAAGCTGGTCAAACTATATTTTTATCCCCACATTCCATAGGACCCACAAGTTTTACCTACTTTTTAATCATACATTCCTTTGACTCCACTGCTTATAAGCAATTACTACTGTAAAGAACTCCAAATACCTAAGAGTTTACTTGGGATTTTAGCCTTTTGCCCTTCAAATGGCCAATTTCTTCCTTGAAGAACTCCATAGGGAGAAACAAATCAGTCCTTTGTCTAGTTTATTTACGATTCTATAGAAGATTACATTATCAAAAGAAATGTCTTTTAAATATGTTTCGCATTAAATTTTCACAACATATGAACATATAATATGACTTTAAAATTCCATCAACATCAAAGTTTGATTGGGCTCTTAGCCTTCTGTCCTTCAAATTGCTAATTGCAGCATGAAGAACTCCATCTGTATAAACACTAGCAAATAAAAAAAAGAAAGAAAAAAAGACGAGGAGCTTTTGTGTAGTTTATTTACAAGTGTACTGAATTTTACATTGTCAAGTATACTTTCTCATTATGTACTCATAGTTACTCTTTTTTATCTCACGCCTTTAACTTCTATTTTTCATATCAATTACTAATTCATGACCATAATTTTGAATTTTGTTATAATTAGGATACTTAATGCGTATTCCAAGGTATATACAAAGTCAAAACTATCTGCAACAAAAAGGTAATGGTTATCGTTTCTTACCGAAATCAGTAAGCCCCCGTTTGGCCCCCTTATTTGGGATTATAATTTTTGAAATAGTTTTTTTTTTTTTTAGAATGTATGGTTAAAAAATAAGAAAAAAATTTTGTTTACGTGTAATATTATTATATTTGAGAATGTGTGGTTAATAAGAAAAGAGAGAAAAATGGATTATTATTTTAATGGGGGGACCAAACGGTGGATTATAATTTTAATGGGGACCAAACGTGGCTAAATATAACACATTGAAATCAAGACTTTATTTTTTAACAGAAATTTCATTTAACAATCTTGTATAGCAGTTATCCTAAAATTTTTTGGTTCTGTTTCTGTTCAGATAAAGGGGTTTGTATAGTCCTTATTCATGTACCTTGTTTCAAGAGTTTCAATTTTACTAATTCCTAGGGAGGAGAGAATGAAAGAAGTCCCTTTTTCCAACGCATTTATGCAGGACAATTGTATCTAAATTTGAGTATGCTAGCTAAATAAACTGTTATAAATGGCAATAATAGATTATTGTAATTGTTGGTTCTTCTAATGAGATATACTTAATGCTCGCAGTAAACAAAGGGAAGTAGATGGTTAAAATCAAAATGAGTTCCTATTCTATTTACACTTTTCCAGCTCTTTTCCTCAATTTACCTGTCACACTATTCAAGCAGATTTTATATTTCTCTGTCAAATATGTTACTTTAGGCACCATATGGTCATGAGCATGACCTTGTAAAATTCAAACATTTGATGCTACGTCATTTCTGTACATTTCTTTCTGTAGACATAATATTGAGGTCAGCAGTAAATATTATCCTCCTGCAGTGGCAATCATTTCAGTTTGTGTTGTTTATGTATTCCACCATCCATTTGGAATTTTTTATCAACTATGGAACAAATCAAACAGTATGTTCTATGATTTTTTACCTTCATTCAGAGAAAAAAGAGAAATTTCTTTTGTTGTTTTCATGCAGTGAGTTCGAAGAACTGGAATCATTTCCAACAATGGCAGTAATGGATGATCCTCTAGAGCCTTCACCTTCAACTACCTCCAATGTCAAATATGTTGCTGATGATCCATCCTTTGTGAACTTCTTCAGTGTATGCTTTCTTTATTTGCGTTTCTCTGGATTATTGCTGATTGCATAATAAGATAGCACCAAATGATAATGCAATATGAGACCATTTCTTACTTATTTTGAACATCATTTCTTGATTCATTCACCTTGGCGGGCACAAAACCAGGCATCAAGGTGAAATTTGACAATAGATCATTACCATAATAGGGGAGGTTTTGATTTTAAACCTACAAAATCAAATTTACATATGCATTTCTAAAAGATGTTTGCTTTTGTCTAAATGGACTGAATGATTGGTATATGCATAATTATATTTTGGTCACATTTGATCTGTTTAAAGAAATGTATTTTTGACTATCATTACTCATAATCTGATTTCACATGATAGAAAGGCAGAGTGTTTCCATTGTCTTGTTTGAATCTTCAGAATCACGGCATGGTAATCAAATATAATTTGTAGACAAATTGAGGGAAAAAAATGAAGCCATTATCGTAGATCTAATTAGCTATGTCAACGAGCCGAGCCGAAAAAAAAAGCTCGGGCTCGGCTCGAACTTTTTTGGCAGAGCTTTTTTCGGGCCCGAGTTGAGCCCGACCAAAAAAATAAGACTTGGTCCGAGCTTTGGCCCGAGCCAAGCCGGCTCGATTTTTAATTTTTTTTCTTGTTGAAACGGATATAAAGGTGATAAATATAC